CTCAAAGAATTTTAGTCTACCATTAAAGATAAAAATATCCTACTTAATGTCGAACACGAAGTGGAAGATCCTAAGGATTTGTTTTCCTGTACCTTCCTGGCTAATGGCTATCTAAAATGGCCCGATATATATATAAAACATGAACTCTACAGCCCACAGGGAGAAAGATTTTATTTCTAGTTTCGGTCACTCGCAATGTTTTATGATACTTTAGTCATTCTTGCTGATGATTCTTATCGTAGAAAGTGAATCGTGTTCTTATCGTAGAAGCTCTTGAGAATGAACTAAAATATTTCAAGGCCGAGTGCTGACTTTCGATTCTCTAGAATGGGGCAATGAAAGTTCTTTTTTTCTTGATACCAGACGTTTAGTACTTAACTTTTCTTAGGTTTTCGCCACTGACTCGATCTTTAATTTCGTTCAATTTAATATAGCACATATTTAGTTAACCCGTCTCTTTTTCAAAAGTTTGTAAAGTTGCGCGCTTCCAACCTGCACGCAACGAAGTGGTGACTGCTGAGACCTGGAAATAGACCAAAGTCTTGCGAATGGTTTAAATACCTTTTTATTCAACTTTAGAAATTACAAATGCGTGCTCTTGACGCTCACAAACTACGCCGACGCGGCGGTAAAATAAAAATTAAAAAATAAGAAAAGAATAGTAACAAGTGACTAGCTACGAGGCTCTCTAAACGTAACTAATCTCACCGCGTTCTAAAATACCGCTGATACTTTAGCAAACTTCTGAATATTACTTTGAAAGATTAACAAACTGCGAGGCAGCACACAGGAGAAACGCGTGTTCTTCAATTTCAAAGCACCTCCACGCTCGTGAAGCAAGAAAGCACCTTCGAATCGTTTCCTTTCTTCTTTTCCGCGATAATTTGAATCCTTGCGCGTTCTACTAAAATTACATACCTGGCTTGGCAATCCAGGGAAAGTAAGGTTGAAGAACGATAGTTTAAACTTAAAATAAATGTTAGTTAAAATAAATATAAACCCTACAAGTTTTAACAATATGCGGAGTTAATTCTTTACTTAAATTACTAATCTGTATTTTTTCTTTCCTTCAGATTATAAAGAATGAAGATATATGCTTTGATAGCAATCCTAATTCTGATGGACTTGTTTTACAGCCAACCGCTGGAAGCATTCATAGCTGCCAAGCTTCTTCATGAAAAAGCTCGTATCAAAATAAAGGCTAAAGACAAGAAATTTTCACTTTACGGTGCTGGTGCTGTAGTAAAGAGTACGAAGGGAACTGCGTAGAAAGTTATCGGTAAACCTCTGAAAGTAATTGGGGGCCATTTTGGCCCCACTGGGTGTTCCCTTGTAGATTGCTGGCAAAATCCTTGAGGGACAAGCTGTAGCAAACAAAGTGAAATCTGGTGTGTTAACTGTGAAAACGTTAGCTAAATATTTCACTCGTTATGGTTGAATATTTCAGGTATGTATCTTTAACAGGAAATATTCTTAAATATGGTCTTTTTTTTGATGTACTTCAAAGCATGTAAATGCTGTTGTGAAATTTTAAATGCATCCTGAATTACTGCACTTGAAAAATACTTAATACTATGTTTTAAAACCATCCTGTAAATTGTACTTCCACTCGCATAATTAGTCCAAAAGCACTTACCACTACTTTATATATGGGATCTTTATTTCATAATTCTTTTACAAAACTAAATAGTGAAGATCAGCGCTATTTGCTTTAAAATACAAGGTGTTAAAAATTTGGGCTCTACTCTTATATGCGCCCTAAGCTCACCAAATGTGGCGATATGTGTTCTGCGCTGGTTTTTGGCACGATTCCGTGCTGTGGGATGGTTTGGTGGACGATGCTGTTTGTATGCAACCCTTTTGAGTTGAAAATTAGACACGTGGTGGCAGGATTTAGTCGCGTATTTTGATTGTGTGGGAAGTAAATTAGTAAAAAGGATGATGTTGGAGTTGTTTAACGAGTCTTTTGTTCATGGATGTGTTTATGCGGATAGAAGTGCATTCTTTGAATTGTGTGGGAGTCAGGACTTTTAAAACAGAGTCTGGTGTGTCCGAAATCCGGAGCTGATATAAGAACTCGGACAAAGAAGGGAGTTTCTGATAGTTCTTGTGTGGATCTGCAGTTAAATGGTTGCTGGCAAAGTATGTGGCTGTCAGCGGAGTTTAAGATTTGGATCGTGGTTTTCGTGTAGTAAGTTAACTTTGGAGGAAGTTTTTATCGTTACTTTCGAAATTTTGAATCGCAGAAAGACATGTGATATAGCAAAGTCGGGGCACTTCTGTTGACAGACGTTATGTGACTGGCGAAGTTTTATTCACGTATGAGGGCATTTTATTTTATTGTTTTTATTATGTAGAATGTTATGTTCATTGTTTTTTATTATGAATTTCTGTTGTTATTTGAATTGTTTGTAATTTATTTTAGGTATTTTAGTTTATTTTGTTGATTTGTGCGCAATGCCTAGATTGTGGAATTCGTACATTTTTTTTAAGTTTAAACAGAACGCTGTGTACATGGTATTCTTTGAAATTTATTGCTATGTCATGTTAATTTATTAAAGCAAGGTGTTCGTAGCTTCCTTCGCTGCCGAGATTGTGCAATTCGCAGATGTTTTCTAAAGTTGAAAGATATCGATTGTGTACATGGATTCTTGTCAAATATTTTTGGTTAGAAACTTTACGATCTAAATTTTTTGTTTTTGTTTCGGATTTTTAGCTTAAATTGTGTGTTCAAAACGGGGTTTTTGCATGTGCGAAAACCGCGTTTTTGGAGACATTTTAGGCTTAAAGTTCGAAATGCAGACAAAAAATTTAGATAGTAATATGGCACTGTTTGGCGCCTTGAGGGCGCATATAAGAGTAGTTCCAAATTTGTTATGCATACATATGTAACTCGTAGATCAATTTTTCAAGAGAGTTATTAAAAGCGATTGTTAAAAAATAAAATTAAAACGCTTCTAAGCTTTAATCAAACTTTATTACATGTAGCAGTGAAATAACTGGTTATCTGCCTTACTTCTATAACTAAAGACTTAAAAATTCAGAGGCTTAATCGCATATACGAAGTGCAGTTTTATAAAAAATTAATTGCCTCCTTTTTTTTTTTAAATTGAAATAAGTCGTTCACGACAGTTTTATAAACTGAATTTTTAAGAACATTGCTCTAAAATGTACTTAAAGTTCAAAAATAGCAAGTTGTCTTAAGTTGCTTAAATCTAAAACTTATAATTTATTTATAGGTTCTTTCCTGAGAATTCCTGTGGATCTTCATCTCCAACATTTAGTTACTAACAAGCTCCATGTTTTTAGCGTACGAGCAAATTTTAACATGCGATAATTTTAACAGATTATATATTTTTCCTTTTTGCTTTATTGTTGACTTCATAAATGTATTTCTTAATAAAGTTGTGTGAAACATTAAATTTGAAAGAGTTTTCCTTTTATTGCGACAATGAAATCTTCAGTTTGAATTCTAATTTATTTTCAGAAGATGTAATGTTTCAAATAAACAGAACACACAAAAAAATGCAATGTGAAATTGTATTGACCTCGAAAAGTAGAATCGAAGAGATTTCGTTTTGTTTCAGTTAAGAAATGTTGAAGGTTCTTTTGATTTCGCTTGCAGTTTCAAAATGTGCACCTGAACTGTTGATTCCAGAAATTTAAAATAACTAAATATGCTGCAATCGTATGTAATTTTGCAGCGATGTAGTTTATTAGTGTGTTGATGATATTTCTACGCTACTTTCCATTCAGTTCATTTCAGCAGAGGCTGAGCGGTAAAATTCGCAGAAAGGTGGCAGTTTGATCAGAATGAACGGTACGGCAGCATGGGAGTTCTTACGGTTTTCTCCATGTGTAACGAGGGTACGTGCCAGTTTTCCTTAAAGTTCTCCTCAAAGTATTGATTATAAAGGAAACCGCGAAATTTAAACGTGAAATCCCCATGAATACATTTCTTGGATCATTCTGTTACAGGACAAGATGCGCCAAACAGTTTTCTCTAGAAAGTTGTGTGTCATTTCGATACTTCTAGAAAAAGAACAAAATTTCATAATCTCATTTCGGTTGAGAAAATTTTTCTGAACGCAAAAATTAGTTCTTATGTATCTATTTCAATAATTAAAAGCTATTTGAAGTCTCACTTCAAACACTTTAAATTGATGATATTACCTAACTGAAAACAAGAACACTGTTACAAGAGAACAGAAAAACGCATTTCATTTAACGGTGGTCAACATGCAGAGCCGTGCCTACATATTTTTTCACCTGAGGCAAGCGATAAATGTGCGCCGCTGTAAACAATGCAAGATTACTTATTTACCTGTTTGTGGGGGGGCGTTAAGAATAAACAAAAAATACTAAATGATGTTTAAAAACATAACACTGTACATACACGCGCAATATATATATATGTGATGTACCAGCTTTTGTCCGGAATAAATAAAATGCTGAAGAATCATAAATGTAGTCGTAGCTTAAATAATCAGACAATAAGTTTAAAAAACAGGATCCATTATTTATTATTCAGGAGAAATAGCAGTTACAAAATTCCTATCTCCGGAGTAAATAAAATAAAAAAGAATTACTAATAACTTTTTGTATGAAGTTTACTGCATCGTTGCATTAAAGAAAAAGCCCCGATATTCCTTTTGCGAGTCATTTTATAGCCTCTGGAAAGGCGGAGCTTCCAAGAAATGACGTCAGCCAATCCAGTTCGCTTGAAATATTTCCAGAACATTCTAAAACTGTACGTGTAGAAAAGGCGGGGAAAACAACTTGACTACGGGGCTGTGAATTTAATTCCACGTACTTTCAAATAAGAGAACGTCGCCATCAAAAATGAAAAGAACATACAGTTAGAATTTTAAGTGTATTCTTGACTATGGAATTTTATTATTACATATATATATATATATATGTGTGGTGTGTGTGTGTGTGTGGTGCATTATTGCATATATAAGGTGTTCGGGATAAATTTGACAGTTTCGTAAGGAAAAGGAAAATCCGCTTTTTATCTATTAAATTTAATGAATTGACAAAAAAAAAAAAAAAAAAAAAAAAATTAGAGGCAGAGTAAATTACAATACTATCAACAAGATTCACTCAAAATAACCACCATTAGTATCGATCACAGCTTCAAAACCTCGAACAAGCTGATGCTACAGTCTCCCTGGTAAGGACCTCAAAATTGTTTTAATTTTGTCCATTAACTGGGCTTTTGTATTACTGGAAGTGCGATTAGTGTCTTTTTCAACTGCGCACCATACAGAATAATCCATGGGGTTAAGGTCTGGGGAGTTTGGAGGCCAAACATTTGGACTGGTGAAGTCATAGAAATTTTCAGACAACCATTTTTGACTTTTGGTGGTGGTTACATTCTCGTAGTCACCATTGCAAGTCTCTAGTTCCTGCCTGATTGTTTTTACTGTGTTCAGGGAGCATTGGGCAGCAGTCATAATATCCTTATTTTGATGGCCGGCACGAATCATCATGATGCAAGTTATTCTCTTCCATGATTCAGGTGGGTTCCAGTCATCCATTCTTTCTGACATCTTGTATATGAATGTAGAAGGGTCCAAACTTTTAAATGACGAGTAATGTGTGTCAATACCTCCAACCTACGGAAAAATGTAATCAATTATAAATATGTCAGATTTATCCCGAACACCCTGTATATATATATATACATACATATAGTCATCCATATAGAAAATTAAAAGTAACTAATTAAAAGTAACTATTTCAAGTGAAAATACAATAACTCTCACAGTAATATACAGTATAATCGCTGTCTATGTTCAGTTAGTGGACTTTGGCAAGTTTGTTATGACTAAGTAAACAGCTTAAGTCAAATTAATGAGAGACAGCAAAGAAAAACTTATGTCGGCAGCATAATATTTTCTATGAAAATTTATTCTATACAATTCGTTACACAAAGTGAAATTAGTTCCTTAAAGCTACTTTTAATGACAAATTTTAATGTTAGAATATTATATACACTACTGTGAAAGCTCGTGTCTTTTGAGAATAAATTAATGCTGTTAGTTTTCACTTTTTCTATTTTAGCTTGATTGTTTTGGAGACATTCGAAGTGAGGTTACCCAGAATACGGCGAAGCACACGACGGCTGTCTGCCCCAGGGAAGGATGCTTTTCGTAGAGGACTTCCTAAGGGAAACTTGCTCATATTCACGTTGCGCATGGTGGGGAGGATCCAATTACGGAACTAGCCGTTTGTCTAGGTTTGAATTAGCAGTTTTCAGCGGTCTTAGCCACTCGGCCACTGGTGGGGATCTTCATATTTCGACTATCTGTTAGCTATCTAACCGAAAGATCAGTCAGCCTGAATACAAATTCAGCGATTATGAAACCGGTACACGCTACACAAGAACGTTATTACGTTAGAAGAAATTTAGGTACACTTTTCCGTTTCGCCGGCGCAAATCTCGTCAAGCAGACTTTATTGGCAACCACATACAGTTTACACATAGAAAATGTTAACAAATGTTAGTTCTAAGAAATTTTTATTTGATTTTATTTGAATTTATTTTTATTTTTATTCTAAGAAATTTTTATTTTATTTTTATTACGAAATTTTAAATGGCATAAACATTTTAATGCCATTTAAAATTTCGTAAGAAGCTAATAAACAAAGACAATAAATTCGTAAAAGGATATTAATTTAAGAACTTACTACGCTGTCATGGTTCAACATCTTGATTCGCCGGTTCATATCACGAGACCCTAAGTGATCTCATCTCACGCAAACTGCGCTATAAAAATCTAATTCTCTCAAATTATTTACATTAATTACAAGTTAAATCTTAATTTGGAATACAAGTTTAAATGCAAGAATTATTTCAGTTCGTACGAATAGCTTACTCAGAAATTATGTAAAACCGCAGTCCTTTACTTCCCTAGTGCATTCTCATTAGAATTGATGAATTTAACCCTTAACTTTGCCTTTTCTATATTTTCGCCTTCGAGTGAGCGGTATGATTGCATCCTAATTGACTTATTTACCGCGAATTGCCTTACGGGCATAAAATTGAACTATCTGGTAAAAATTCTAGGAAACGGTATGCCAGTATTGAAAGAAACAATCAATCTGATAAGAAACGCTGCTACTTGTTTTGAAAATGAGGCGTAAAAGGTTACCAGCGAGGATATTCCGTTTGGCACCAGTTGTACCATTATTGGTGACTTTAATCGCCTGCGCCGGCAAAACGGAAAAGTACCGAAATTTATAATATTAAAAGTTTAGTACTGTATTAAATTTCCTTAACATTTATTCACACAGTTTTAAATGAACTCTGCAATGTTTTAAAAAATAGAAAATGCACATTAAGCGATGTTTAAATAAACTCATTTAATCAACATTAAAGTTCCAATTCCGCAATCAAGTAGTCCATTCTCTTAGAAAGTTCCTCAGAAGGCATTCCCTACTTAAGCAGATAATTTTGCCGTAAAACCTAGCGTTTTGTGAGAATAGACACATTTGGAAAGTAAACAGCCGTTTCAATCTTTAAAGAGAATTAAGATTGTTGGTACAAATTTCGCATTCGACAATTTAAATGTTCAGCATTAAACTATATTATGTTCTCTTAAATTCATAAGAAACGGCTTAGCCCCACGAAACTGTAGAAAGCCTAACTGTAGGTCCTTTCCCGAAAGTGCTTTTATCTGTTCAAAAATTAATAAACTTAAATTGACTAGCTCGTACAAAACAGGTATTTGTAAATAATTTTAAGTTTAATACCAAATGAGAGTGATTAAAAGGGGCAAAACTTTCTGCAGCCAATCGGGAAACTAATTAAGGAACAGGCAAAAATGTAATGAAGATTTTCTTATAAATCAATATCCGCGATAAATCGGGATTTAGGAACAGAAATAGATTTTGCAATAGGATGAAACGCAACTTCATTTTAAAATGTCTAGCTCTCAATTTCTGTCTGTCTCTCAAATTTGCTGGTGTTTGAAATTCTGAAGCCCTGGCGTGGTTTGGCTGAGCTTAACGTTTCCAAGAAATGCATATTCATCTTAAACTTAAGCTCTGTGAACGTGAATACGAACTGTTAAATAAAATGCATTTAGCGAACTGGAGCTACTCTCATATCCGCCCTCAGTTGGCGACAAATTTCTCGCCAAGCATCTCCACGCCGCCATATTACTACCTAAATGTTTTGTCTACATTTCGAATTTCAAGCCTAAAATGTCTGCAAAAACGCGATTTTCTTTCGTGCAAAAACCACGTTTAGAGCGTTTAGAATTTAAGCTAAAAATCCGAAACAAAAAACAAAACGTTTCTAACCAAAAATATTTCAGAAGAATCCTTGTACACAGCGATATGTTTTAATTTTTAAAAAAATCACAGAATTGCATAATCTATGCAGCGAAGAAAACTACGAACTACGTGCACCTAGCTTAAATAAAGTAACATAACAACAATAAATTTCAGAGAATATCATGTACACAGCGTTGTGTTTTAAACTTTAAAAAAAAATCTCCGAATTGCACAATCTAGGCAGCGAAGGAATCTACGAACTACGCATACCTCGCTTTAATAAATTAACATAACAACAATAAATTTTAAGAATACCGTGTACACAGCATTCTGTTTCAACTTTAAAAAACATCTACGAATTGCACAATCTAGGCATTGCGCACTAATCAACTAAATAAACTAAAATAAATTTCAAACAACAATAAAAAAATAACGATAGAAATTCATACTAAAAAAAAACAATGAACATAATATTCTACAAAATAAAAACAAGAATAAAATAAAATGCACTTACCATGAACGAATGCTTCTTCGAACAGCAGAAATACCAATTTCATGCCGCTTTTAACATGCGGCCACGTAATCACTATCGTATTGATATTACAGCCAGACTCACTATCCACAAAATTGATACTATCTTTCACAAGTAAATGTTGAAAACCTTCTTTTCCTAAATCCTTGTAGGATTTCCAGCCATCCGAAAAAATAGTTTTACCAGGCTCAATCCACTCTTTAAGACACTGCATCAGAGTTTCCTTACTTCTATCATGCACAGCCACCATAAAAAATATCCCAGATCCTGTTAAATACCCACTGCCCCTCAACAGGATGGCCACGATGATATTTTCTTTTGCCAAACTTCGACTCATCTACTTCCACCACTTTATCTTTTTCTCCTATCTTTTGAGACACAGAGCATACAAAGTCCATCATACATAAAATACCACACGAACCAACTAGCAACTGAAATCCAAGTTTCCAGGTAAAAAGGGTTGCCATAGAAACCAAATTCGCCCCAAAACCATTGCAGAACACGCAATCACGCCAAAAACTAGCTCATAACACATAACGCCGCATTTGGTGACCTGAGGGCGCATATAAGACTAGTACCAGCGAACTCTATAAATATGCCATTCATTCAGTCGTATAACTGATTAATAATTTTTAAGACGTATACTCATTATTTTCGCTTATAATAATAAAAGTATTATGGTACACATAACATTCTCCAGCTAAGATAAAAACTGGTTAAAACATCTTCTAGTGCCTCACACGCTTACCTTAGCAAATTTAGATTTTCCATTTGAATCATCGATGAATAAAAGCGCTACGGTTCAAAAATGTTAAATGATAATACGAAACTTCTGAATGTGAACTATATTGATGCAACTTGTTATTTTATCCACTCAAGAGAGGGAACGTATAAACTATTTTTGCGTAAATTCTTAGCAGTCTTTATTTTAAAAAGATACTTTTCTGTTAGAAACAATATCACTTGAAACATATTTTGTGGGGGGGAGGAATTAGTTTCTCCTTCCTAGTCATTATTTTTATTATAATCATTCGCATGACCAACATTTTTCACCTGATCCTTTCTCTTCTTTTTTTCATTCAGATGATTTCACAGCTTTGTTTGCCAAGAGATGAAAAACGGGATATCCTCTCCCTACCCTAAAAAGTACTTTTTTTTTCACAAAGAAACTTTGTGTTCAAATAATCATTTCATAAATTAAAAAATTATAATGACTTGTAGCAGTAACACTTATTCCGGGAAGAATTATTCTGTTCAAACCACTAACATGGTTTGCTGGATCACTCATTCCTTTTATTAATGCCGTGCTATAACCAAAACTAACATAAACAAAATACTCGCCTCGCCTTTTTAAATAGTTTTAATTAACAAAACACAATTAAGATAAAACATTACATTTAAGGGCGTTATAATTACACATTTAAAATACAAAATAGATCTCGGGGAACAACATGCTTATGTCCATGACTCCAGTATATCGACTGAAGGCTAGAGTATTTTTTGGCTGGTGTTTCTTCAGGCGGCCGCTAGGTGGTGCTCGTTGTGCCGTGTGGTTACAGACTTCTCTTCTGGCTCGTACGACGTCTCGGCGAAGAGCCACAAATATGTTTCTTTGGTCTGCAAATAGGATGTAATGTCACCCATACTCTATCACCTGGTTTGTAAGAAGCCTTTTGACGTCGACGGCAATAATATATTTTTGTGCTTTTCATACTCTTCATTAAATTAGGATGATTCATCAGCAACATAGAATCAGAATAATTCCCTTCAAGCTCTATTGAACCAGGATGATTCATGCCATAGCATAGAATTAGGATGATACTATTTAAACTTCACTGAATCAGGATGAATCATTCAAAACTTCATAGAATCAAGATGATTTCCTTCATACTTCAATGAATCGAGATGATTCTTTTCAAACTTCATTGAATCGAGATGATTATCTTCAAACTTCATTAAATCAGGATGATTCATTCAAACATTTCTGATTTGAGATGATTCACTTCAATCTTCATTGAATCGGGAGGATTTATCACACAACACAGAATCAGGATAATTCTCTTCATACTTCATTGAATCGGGATGATTCACTTTAAACTTTCTGAATTGGGATGATTCACTTCAAACTTCATTGAATCGGGATGATTCTTTTCAAACTTCATTGAATCGGGATAATTTATCATACAACACAGAATCAGAATGATTCACTTCATACTTTCATTGAATCGGGATGATTCATCACACAGCATGGAATCGGGATGATTCATCACACAGCATGGAATCATGATGATTCTCTTCATATTTCATGGAATCGGGATGATTCACCCCAAACTCCATAGAATCAGGATGATTCTTTTTAAACTTTCACTACATGAGGCTGGATCTCCCCCTGGTTCGAAGCAGTTTTCTTGAATTTTTGCAATAAGTGATTTAGTTGAGTACGCCGTTTCGTATGTAGATGTTTACCTTCGTCACTTCGAAGATTCACTAAAATGGATGTTTCAAAACTTTAACTTAATTGGAAATTTATGGAATTTTTTGTTTAAGTGCGTAATTAGCTCTTTGAGTTGCATTACTTCTCAAATTATCTGAGACGGGCAGACCCCGTTCTGTGGCTAGCACTTGCAGATCCTTTTTTCTGGTTGGTCCCAAAAATGCCATATTATCTTACTTTCAATGTCCGTTGAAAAGCTCAATATTTGTTTGAATAAAAATTATATGTTCAGAAATTTTATCAATTTCTTAATTACCCTTAGCAATTACATAATATTTGAAAAACTACATTGAACAAAATCATTAATCTGAGATTACTTGAGATTACTTAAGCTGAGATTAATTAGAGAAAACCTTTTTAAAAAAGATAAAATAACGTAAATTGTTTTCTTTACCCAAAGTGGTTTTTGAGGATTTTGTGATAAAATTAGTTTCTTGTTGACTCTTTCCGATCATTACCTTTCGACTAATACCGAGTCAAATGTGGGGAGGGGGGGAATGAGCTAAAACTACGCGGTAGGGCTTTAACGAAAACGTTACTTTTAAACTCCCAAAATATTTGTATTAAATCTGGTATAATTAAATAAGAAACTGAACTGACGTTTATGTATCGAAGAAATTAGAGTAATTTGAACCTGGGCTTTAAATTTATTACTAAATCTTTGTGCAGTAGGTATTCCGAGATCAAATATCGACTGCTTGAGGACTATCAGATTAAATCATTGATTTCAAGGAATTTCCATGTTTAAACTGAACTCTTAAAATCAGTTATTAAATTTGCTTTTACATAACGAAGTTTTACTGTTATATCTGCAGTTAGACTTAATACCGAAGTCGCCATTAAAATAGTAGAACAAAACAAATTAGTTAAACTATTTTAATGGCGACCCTTATCCAAAGTTTTATTTTCCTTTAGGATAAAATGTTAGTTTATCCTAGAGGAAAATAAAACTTTGGATAAGTTAATAAATTAAGATTGCATATAATTTAACATTTTCGTATCAGTTACAAAAACGAATGATAAATAACTTTTTAAAAGTTCAATTAAAACGCACTTTTTGCTTTGGTATATATAAATTAATATGTCTAGCAATAATTTCAAATTTGCTTTCAATGTGAAAGTAAATTTTCATATTCCCATGCATTGCCCCTCACATAATAACTAAAATGTAGTTGTATGTGAAATCACTCTTCTTGTGGTCGGTACTTTCATGTCATTTAGGATAGAGCAGATGCACAAGAGCGAAGCCCAGGATGATACTTAGAAAAGCACTGGCAAGAGAAAAATACGTATTATGCTAATTTTCATTTTTTATACTTCTCCGACTTAGTGAGTGTTAGTACAAGAGTTTTAAATCTCGACCCAAGCACAAAATGTTAAATACTGGAATTCTGATTGATTTTTTTTTTTTTTTTTTTTTTTTTCAGTTTGTGAATACAGATCAGAATATCCACCCTGCTCTCCAAATATATTTCCCACTTGTTTTTCTGTGCCTTTTCTTCAAACTTACAGCAAGTTAATATTAATAAGTAATTAAGGAAGATTACTGGATAATGATTTTACAAGTTTCTCTTAATTTTTATAGAATCAAATAAGAGGAAGGGTGTAGTTAATCAACCGCTGAAAGGAAAGTTAGAAAAGTGTAATTAAAATAATTTTAGGTGTTATAAAACGTGGGTGATTATAGACAATTATTAACCCCTTGGCCTACACGACATCTGCCAATTGCGCGAGTTATAGTAAACTCGGCTGAACAGTTCAATGGCACGGTCCACGCCGTGCCATTCAACTGTTCAGCCGTTTACCCGAACCGGAACAAAATGTATACTTTTCATGACATATATATTTCAGTGTAACGAGAGGAATTGTGAAATTATAAACAATGTTTAGGCACAAATAGTAATTTTAAGACGTCTAGGGTCATCATCAATTGATCAGTTGACAAAAATAATTGCATGATTGGTATGATAGGTATAAGAGTATTTTAATTCTTTATACGAAATTATGTTTGAAACGTGTGAACGTAACGAAGCATTACGGGGAACTAAAGTAACAGATCATCCAGTTTCGTCAGAAACAACTGAAAAAAAAAAACACTAACGTTACAATCAAAGGACAAATATTCGATGTAGAATAACTCCAATCGCTTGTTCTAATAATATGCGGCATTTTATGCACAAGTTTCTCACCACGAGTCAGACTTATGGCTTTTGTTTATGGCACAAATTCTTAACCACGAGTCAGACTCCTGGCTTTTGTTTATGGCATAAACTCTATACCACAAGTCAGACTCATGGCTTTTGTTTATGGCACAAATTCTTAACCACGAGTCAGCCTCATGGCTTTTGTTTATAGCACAAATTCTTTACCACGAGTCAGACGCGTGGTAAGACGCGAGTCAGACGCGTGGTGTCATTACCACGAACGTGTACTACGAATTCTTAACCACGAGTCAGCCTCATGGCTTTTGTTTATAGCACAAATTCTTTACCACGAATTTTCATAAAATGGCTGTCGCTTATAATGCTCTGTAATGATTTCTTGTGTAAGAACCAACTTTTCATACAACTTCCGTCTTCATAGTTCAAATCTGGAATTACAGAGTCAATATTTTTCCCTACAAATTCTTTCACGTGTCATAATCACACTTTCATGAAAACGAACTCAAATATAGTACTAAAAGTTTATTTCGCTTATAAGGAGCATAAGAATAGTAAATTTTAAAAATTTACTATTCTTATGCTCCTTGTGCTATTTATCCCGTACTAAATTTACTATTTATCCCGTACTATAGAAACTGACTGAGCTATTACATTTAAAAGTCCTCTGTCCCGTAGCTTTAT